TCTGTTTTTTTTTTTTTTTATATATATATATATATATATATATATATATATATATATATATATATATATTATTGTAAACTTTTAAGCATTTTAAATCAATTACTGACCACAAATATAAAAGTGATATTTATAAAATGATTTTGGAAACATCCTTCCATCCTCACAGTTGACATGTTTCCCAGTTGCTGTGAATCCTGTTATTCTGATATGCATCTTGTCCAATTAGGTGTGAGTGTCCTGCTGGGCTGTCATTTCCTCATTTAGTCGTCTCAGTGCACGTCTGCACCTGTCAACATCTCCCCGCTGACCCCTCACTGACTGCAGCGCACCTGCCACCGGGACGCATGTGTGAAACGGAGCATCAGAGGGCGGCTGGGCCAAACGCACTCTGCTAATAGGGTGCTGTACTGATCGGTGAGACCACCGTGCTCTGTAGGGCTGTCAAAAAATTTTTTGAATTTCGAATATTCGTCGAATTTAAAATAAAAATCCACATTCGAATGCAAAAACGTTGCATTCAAATTTTACACATGAGACGCGATGACGATGCAAGTGTCATTGCATTTTAATGTTTTTGTTAACCTATCCAGTTGAAGCCACTAGATGTGGCACTGCTGCGTTGTTAATTACAAATATTGTGGGAAAAGAGAGCATCAATGCGGAGAAGATCTTGTTTACGTCAAAATTTGAATGTTTTTGTTAACCTATCCAGTTGAAGCCACTAGATGCGGCGCTGCTGCGTTGTTAATTACAAATGTTGCGTGAAAAGAGAACATCAATGCGAAGAAGACCTTGTTTACGTCAAAACTGTAACCAAGCCATTCACACAGAACGCATATTTTGCGCATTTTCTATCACCGTTGCACTCGCGTCACGCACAAAAGAGCCGCATGTTTAGAAAACCATGTAAAATTAATGCAAGTTCAACTTTGAAAAAAACATGTCTCGAGACTTTATTGCGGGTTTTTTCCCATCCCACTGCATCTCATGTTTTTAAATGAAAAATGTACTCTGTGTGATTGGTTTTCGGCCCTTTGTATTAAACTATGCATACATACATGATGCTGTTTTGTTTATAGTTGTTTAAGCAACTTAATTATAATTGGTTATAAACATTATTTTAAACACTTTTTTCACAGATAGTCTGTTTTCTTATGTTTCGAGTACGTGCATTAGTAATATTTTGCTCGATGCGCCCTCTTGTGGCCTCAGGAGAGAAGCCAAAAGTTTTTCTTCACCCTAACTTAAATTATGCCTTTTAAATTCGAATATAATTCGAATTTTGATAATGTTTAAGTAAAAAATTCGAATTTAGTTTTTCAGCCATTTTGACAGCCCTAATGCTCTGCTTCCCACACCAAAATAAACAGCCAGACTCATGCTACACAGAGAGGGTGTGTGCTGTGCAGAATTACTTTAAAGGGTTAGTTCACCCAAAAATGAAAATTGGCTTGTGTTTTACTCACCCTCGAAGCATCCTAGGTGTATATGACTTCCGCAGGAACGGCTTCCGCGTATGACAGAAAACGGAAGTGAGAGAAATGTGTTTATTACGTTTGAAATATGGATATTTTTCTTACAAAAACACATGGATTCGCTACAGGAGGCCTTTATTCACCCCCAGGAGCCGTGTGAGGAACGTTTTATTATGGATGCGCAGCTTTATTTGACGACTTGTGGACTGTTCAACTGCAAAACCCGCTGACTGCAATGATAGAGCATGGAATAGCCAGGACAATTTTTAATATAACTCCGACTGGATTCGTCTGAAAGAAGAAAGTCATATACACCTAGGATGCTTTGAGGGTGAGTAAAACATTAGCCAATTTTCATTTTTGGGTGAACTAACCCTTTAACTAGACTAGTACTGCAGTATACAGTATGTGTACTGTGCACAGTAGGCATTGCATACCTGCATTTATCAATTCATATAGCCTACATGGCATATAATATATACTCTGCATTCTTCTGATCTCTTCAGTTTAATATACTGTATGCAAATGTAGCCAAGAAAGACTCACATTTGAAACATTATCAGCGCTCTAAAGAAGTTACAAACTGAACTAATTATCTGACCAGTTGTGTTGTGAGCAGACAAAGAAATAAGATAAACTAAAAATAAAAAAAATGAATTAAATAAATTCATGAATAAATAAATAATGCTAGGTTCAGTTTCATCAACTAAATTAAAACTACAAAAATAAATATTGCATTTTTGAAATAGTGTCAGGATAAATTATATTTCCAAAATGGATATTATTATATTATTTTTCTCTACAGTCATTCATTAATGTAATATACAACATTATTTCCTGTTACAAAAAAAGGAAAATGTTTTTATTTAAAATAAGTAGAAAAAGTACTACTATGTCCATACTTTACAATTAAAACAATAAACGAACAAACGAACAAATAAATCACCATATTACTCTAATTAATAATTCAGTGTATGTATTAAGCATACCTGCATTTACCATTTTGTGAAGAATATATGACACAACATACCGTATCCCACAAAGCATTTGATCCTACATTTCCAAAGTGATGTATAAACCGAAAAATGTATATATATATATATATACAGTGGGTACGGAAAGTATTCAGACCCCCTTAAATTTTTCACTCTTTGTTATATTGCAGCCATTTGCTAAAATCCAACTCGTGTTTTTAAATGAAAAATGTACTCTGTGTGATTGGTTTTCGGCCCTTTGTATTAAACTATGCATACATACATGATGCTGTTTTGTTTATAGTTGTTTAAGCAACTTAATTATAATTGGTTATAAACATTATTTTAAACACTTTTTTCACAGATAGTCTGTTTTCTTATGTTTCGAGTACGTGCATTAGTAATATTTTGCTCGATGCGCCCTCTTGTGGCCTCAGGAGAGAAGCCAAAAGTTTTTCTTCACCCTAACTTAAATTATGCCTTTTAAATTCGAATATAATTCGAATTTTGATAATGTTTAAGTAAAAAATTCGAATTTAGTTTTTCAGCCATTTTGACAGCCCTAATGCTCTGCTTCCCACACCAAAATAAACAGCCAGACTCATGCTACACAGAGAGGGTGTGTGCTGTGCAGAATTACTTTAAAGGGTTAGTTCACCCAAAAATGAAAATTGGCTTGTGTTTTACTCACCCTCGAAGCATCCTAGGTGTATATGACTTCCGCAGGAACGGCTTCCGCGTATGACAGAAAACGGAAGTGAGAGAAATGTGTTTATTACGTTTGAAATATGGATATTTTTCTTACAAAAACACATGGATTCGCTACAGGAGGCCTTTATTCACCCCCAGGAGCCGTGTGAGGAACGTTTTATTATGGATGCGCAGCTTTATTTGACGACTTGTGGACTGTTCAACTGCAAAACCCGCTGACTGCAATGATAGAGCATGGAATAGCCAGGACAATTTTTAATATAACTCCGACTGGATTCGTCTGAAAGAAGAAAGTCATATACACCTAGGATGCTTTGAGGGTGAGTAAAACATTAGCCAATTTTCATTTTTGGGTGAACTAACCCTTTAACTAGACTAGTACTGCAGTATACAGTATGTGTACTGTGCACAGTAGGCATTGCATACCTGCATTTATCAATTCATATAGCCTACATGGCATATAATATATACTCTGCATTCTTCTGATCTCTTCAGTTTAATATACTGTATGCAAATGTAGCCAAGAAAGACTCACATTTGAAACATTATCAGCGCTCTAAAGAAGTTACAAACTGAACTAATTATCTGACCAGTTGTGTTGTGAGCAGACAAAGAAATAAGATAAACTAAAAATAAAAAAAATGAATTAAATAAATTCATGAATAAATAAATAATGCTAGGTTCAGTTTCATCAACTAAATTAAAACTACAAAAATAAATATTGCATTTTTGAAATAGTGTCAGGATAAATTATATTTCCAAAATGGATATTATTATATTATTTTTCTCTACAGTCATTCATTAATGTAATATACAACATTATTTCCTGTTACAAAAAAAGGAAAATGTTTTTATTTAAAATAAGTAGAAAAAGTACTACTATGTCCATACTTTACAATTAAAACAATAAACGAACAAACGAACAAATAAATCACCATATTACTCTAATTAATAATTCAGTGTATGTATTAAGCATACCTGCATTTACCATTTTGTGAAGAATATATGACACAACATACCGTATCCCACAAAGCATTTGATCCTACATTTCCAAAGTGATGTATAAACCGAAAAATGTATATATATATATATATACAGTGGGTACGGAAAGTATTCAGACCCCCTTAAATTTTTCACTCTTTGTTATATTGCAGCCATTTGCTAAAATCATTCAGTTTTTCTTTTTTAATAAATCTGCAAAAATGTCAACGATTCTGTGTTTTTCTGTCAATATGGGGTGCTGTGTGTATATTAATGAGGAAAAAAAATTTACTTAAATGATTTTAGCAAATGGCTGCAATATAACAAAGAGTGAAAAATTTAAGGGGGTCTGAATACTTTCCGTACCCACTGCATATATATATATATATATATATATATATTAATTACAAATAAAAATTATCATTAATAATAAATACAAATATATGAATATAAAACTTACTAAATATATACTAATATTTTTATTTAAAATATTATAAAGACAAAAGTAGCATGTTACTCTTTAAAATATTTATTATGTAATAAGGCACGTTGTTTTATTTATTATTTATTTATACGCTAGTATTCGATTCTAAATCCAGCTGGAGAATGTAAAGAGAGGGAATAAGGAGGCATGAGATGCACCTGTTTTCCTTGGACACGTCACCCGCATTCTCTGTGTGTGCAGGTTGATGGGAATGAACTCCAGATATTTCTGGCCTTTGCTGCAGCTGGGCTTGAACGATGGACCTGGGAAAGATCACCAAAAGCCAAGCGTTTATATATAATCTGCTTTAGCCCTCGTTCAAGAACAAAACAAACACACAAACAGACAGATGAGCGCAAACACACAGCGGGGGCTCTGCCATCTGCTTCTATTGAATTACAGCCACACGCAAATACACCCCTTTATTGTTATTCTGACTCATATGTGTTGGTCGCGATGCATTATAGCGGCGTGTTTGAATGCATTCAAGTACAAAGCCATGACTTGATCAAATGAATACCACGTCGGTCTGATTAAATGAATAAAAAGAAGGCAATCAAACATCAATTGAAGGCGAGAGCCTGCATGCAAGGCCTTTCATTTAAACGTGTGAAGGTAACGGCTTTCATACATGCCTACTAATAAAGGATAAAAGAAGTCGTGGATGACCTTGAGTGACTGGAGCTGTAATAATGACCGCTCAGAGCTGCATATAAACACTGCAATCTGATTACAAATATCACTCTCCCAAATACCAGCTCATTTATTCTTAAATCCACAAAGCACAGGGTTTTGCTCAAATTATGCACCACCTGCTTCGTACAAAAACAACCCAATTAAAATCTTCAGAAACGGATACTGTAAGCCCCTATGGTGAAGCAAATATCGCCCAGCGACACACGGCGGGCTTTTGATCGCTTCAGTGTAATATATGCAAATATAGCCAACAAAGACTCTTTGAAACATTATCAGCGCTCGTAAGAACTTCCAAAATGAACTAATTATCTGACCAGTTGTGTTGTGAGCAGACAAAGAAATTAGAGGGGGGGAAAATGAACAATAAATAAATGATACATCAAATAGCATTGGGTTCATAAAATAAAATAAAGCTACAAAAAAATAATAATTTTGCATGTTTTTTTTTTTAATGATAATTAAGTATAATTCCCTCAAAATTCATATTATATTGTTATTATTCTTAATGGTCATTCCCATGCACGAACAATAAATAAATAAAAGTAAAACGTTCTATTATTATTCTCAATGGTCATTCTCAGTCACTAACAAATAAATAAATAAATACATGTAAAACTTTATATTATATTATTATTCTCAATGGTCACTTATTACTTTTATTTAAATTTTCCATATTACAAAAAATAACAATACAACAACACTACTATGCAATAATACTTTACATGCATTTTTAAAATGTAAACAATAAACAATTATTTTAAACAAAAACAAACAAATATTATTTGGTGGGAAGCTGAAAATGACAATAATAGGCTTCATTTTGAGTGTCATATAGTGTGTGAGCACTTCAAGAGTAGCAGCACATTTTCAATCAACACCAAAAGCACAAATGGACTCTTTAGAGAGAGTGAAGAGCTGTGATAATTAAAGGCTCTGTGCTTTAAACACATGTGAAGTTCACATCAATGAAAGGCTGTACAGTACACCACTGCTGCTGCTTACACAGCTCAATATCACTCAAATATAGACCAGACCTGCCAATGCCTCCACCAAATGCCCTTTTATTTACAACCGAACATACTGAGGAAGGGGAAAGTGAAGAAATAAAGAGCAGCATCCACACTGAAACATGACCTTTGCCAAAACGTTTTATCATCGCTGTATGTTTGACCCTTGTTAAGCTGAAAATATACATGCTGAAACATTTAACAAGGCATAAATTCACTCCACCTCCACAGCATCATGTCGGGTGGGTAGAAAGAAAAAGAAAGAAAAACACTGGTACGGAAAAAATAAACAGCATGAACCCAAATTACAGTGCTTTATATAATTGGATTAGTTTAATGCAGTCACTGTAATTAAGATAAGCACTGCCCTAAAAAAAAAAAAAAATTTAATTAAATAATTATTTGACATATATTAACAATATCAAGAATCGAATTAGAGTTTTACATAATTTTATTTAGTGTAAATTTAAATACATGTTTAATGCAATCACCATAATTAAAATTCGGATAAGTACTGCTCTGATTCCTAAAAAAAAAATAATAATAAAAATAAAATTAAAATAATTATTTGACATATATTAACAATATCAAGAATCGAATTAGAGTGTTTTATATAATTTTATTTAGTGTAAATTTAAATACATGTTTAATGCAATCACCGTAATTAAAATTCGGATAAGTACTGCTCTGATAAAATAAAATAAAATAATAAAAAAATAAAATAAAATAAAATAAAAAATAAAATAAAAATAAAATGTTTAAAATCTCAGAAATATGGCAGACTGTTGAAGTAAAATGCATTGCAAACTGTGTTTCGTGTTGTACAGAAAATAAAAATGCATTATGAAAGTTTTTTTGTGTACTTAAATAACTAAAATACATTATAAATAAATAAAGTGACAGGCCTTTTTTATAGATATTACAATTTTAAATATGAAAAGTCAGAAATGTGTCAGATTGTGAAAGTAAAATACATTACAAAATGTGTTTCATGTTGATTTTAACTACTTTAAATTAAGAGTCGTTTGTAGCCTGGAAAACTACAGTTTCGAAGCAACCCACTTCATGTAAAACAAAACCGCTTTTATTAGGCCACTCATAAGTCTGGAGTCTTACTCTCATGTGTACGTGCATCATTTAAAACCTATTTCTCAAAAGCACTCCTCATACTCTGTGTAAAGCTTGGTAACGAGGACAGAATGGCTGAGATCACTTGCGGATAGTGCTCGTCAGTCAGACAGATGTGCTCTCTCCTGGGACACGGGTTAATGGAGGCGGGCCGGCCAGGCGTGGCGGAAGAATTAGCCCCATCACACACACCATCTGCCCACGCAGCTGCTGCCCAGGGAACCCCCGCAAAACTCATTTCAGAAGTGACTAAAACCTTATTCTATACATCACACTAACAATATAGCACAATACAGTTATTTTTGTTGTATATTTAGTCCAAAAATGATTCGTGTTTTTGAGTGCATGTGTTAATGCCTCTTTATTAACAATCAACACACTCTCGTGGCAGTTCATAACTATTTTACATTCAGGCGAGTTAGTGTCTAATTTGTATAAATTTGTACTTTTGTATTTTTTTTCATACAATTAGGTTTAGGGTTGGACCTTCATGCTTGCGTTTTTTTTTTATCATACATTTACAATATGATTCACATAATACGAATTCACTCAAAACTAGGGATGTAACGATTCACTCAACTCACGATTCGATGCAATTATGAACTTTAATATGCGTTATACAGAGGCAAGATGAAAAGAAAAAATACCATCTAAACTTTTCTAAAGACAGTAAGTTCCTCTCAGACATACATTCATATAAACTCCTACACCTAAATGAATCGCGATTTGTTTAGCATCTCGACCGACTTGAATCGTCACATATTTGAATCGATTTTCAACCGGCTCACGGTTAATCGTTACATCCCTACTCAAAACTCATACAATGTGAATCCAGTTAGTGAAATACTTTACAAACAAAAGATACTTCATTTTATTTGATTATTTATTCTTTGTTTTGGGAACCTGAGGAATGCAAACCAGAAGATAATTTTCATACCAAATGAATGACACATTTCATATTATATAAAAATTCAAAATGGATCCGACTTTTAATTCTGATCGGATAAGCTACATTAAGAGTTGATAAAGTTATATATTCAAATTGTGTCCAATTTTTCAAAATTTCAAGTAAAATATGGAAATCATCCTGTGGCGTGATAATGACATAATTTATGAATTACAGAAATATATCAATATAAACAAAACAACTGACTATTTAGGGTCTGTGATCATCATAAATATACATACTTGCATTTAAATTTGTGTTTAAAGATGTAAAAAAAAGTCTTCACTGTTACCTATCATAAAATTCATTTTGTCATTACTATCCATGAAAATATGTGAAATGATGCGTAAAATATGTAATATTTAAGATGCAGTGAATAACACAACGGACACTTTGCTATCCCATAATGCCTTGGAATCAAATTTAAAATGATGAATAAATGTGACCCTAGACCACAAAACCAGTCTTAAGTGTCAATTTTTCTTTTCTTTTCTTTTCTTTTCAAATTGTGATGTATACAACATCTGAAAGCTGAATAAATAAGCTTTCCATTGTTGTATGATTTACTAGGATAGGACAATATTTGGCCGAGATACAACTATTTGAATATCTGGAATCTGAGGGTGCAAAAAAATCTAAATATTGAGAAAATCGTCTTTAAAGCTGTCCAAATGAAGTCCTTAGCAATGCATATTACTAATAAAAAATTAAGTTTTGATATATTTACAGTAGGAAATGTACAAAATATCTTCCTGGAACATGATCTTTACTTAATATCCTAATGATTTTTGGCATAAAAGAAAAATCGATAATTTTGACCCATACAATGTATTTTTGGCTATTGCTACAAATATACCCGTGCTACTTATGACTGGTTTTGTGATCCAGGGTCACATATATAAAATAAGATGATGATTAAAAATGCCATGATGAATAAACGTACCAAGAAAGTTGCTCCTTGTGATTGAATTGCACTATTTAATGTTTTATTATTTATTTTTTTGTTGTCACAGGTCAAAGGCAAGCCTAGACGGAGGATGAAGTTTGTATGCACTGACTTAATAGAGAAATTAAAATAGAAAAATTAAGACACAGTGCTTGTCAAGCTTGTAAGTAGTACAAGTTATACCTTCCACTAATTAAACTTTGCTATATTATTTAAGTATTTCCATGCTAATTTATTCAGTGCAACACCTCCGCATAATAAAAATAGCATTAATAAACATAATAAGTAAATGCTTTATTGATTTGTGTGGATGCAGCATATGGGAGTCTGCTGAATAACAGCTGAATACCTAGAAATATCCTGCGGTGAGAGACTACAAATCTTCGAAATAATCTGTCACACTGCAGGACTAAAGAACCAGTCGAGGCGAAAAGTGATGCATCTACAAACTACCTTGAAAAAAGGTTTATGTCTGTTTGTCAGCTACGCAAACACAAACACACTTGGTCTCTTTTCTGTAAGAAAGCCAGCAGTCTCATT